TGGGTGCTTTTGCTAACCATGAGTGACTATAATGTTTACCTAATTAAACCAAAAACAAATCAGTTTATAGAACTAACACCTTCTAACATCTTTTCTAAACATTTCTTTAGAGCAAAGATGATAAATATTTCACACAGACCACTTTAAATGAGTGTTTATCCATACCTGTGAATGATGAGGAAACAGACACGTTATAGCATTGCTCGAGTGCAGTTTAATATGAGTTCGTCCCCACAAACACGCCACACTGCCCTCTACAGGTGTGGTGGTGAACTACATGAATCATTTCATTTAATCATAAGAACTAGAACAGGAATAAAACAAACAAAAAAAAAAGAAGAAACGGGGGGTGTTGGGTTAACTTTTTGTTTTTAACACATTATGAAGAATATTTCCCTCTCAGTTATCTGGCTAAGTTACACCTATTCTGTCAGGAGGAATGGGCCAAAACTATTGTAAGAAGCTTGTGGAAGGATACCTAAAACAATTGACCAAAGTTATAAAGTTTAAAAGCTAAAAAATACCAAGAAAATGTATGTAAACGTTTGATGGTCTAGAAATCAATAAAAAGGTCTCAAAAACTAAATTCAAAAAGAGAGATACAAAGAAAAAGAAATACCTAACAGCAAACAGATGATGACTATAATTAGCAGTGCATTAAAATAAAGCATATATTAAATATTTTTAAACCGAAGATATCTTCATATTTAGAATATAGTGAAAAATTACACATTCAATAAAAAATAGAATTAAATACTGTAGGGACTCTAAAGAACTCTATGAATTTTTTTACAGGAGGAAAAAAGCTGACCAGTTCAAAAACAAAAGTTGTAGAATTAATATTTTTCTTGTTAAACTTTGAACTTTTACCTGCAGCAAATGTTGTCAGATGAGACAGAAAGAAACAGGTTTTTACCACAGCAATGTGACTTTGAATACTTCTGTTAGCTTCTTCCTGATTCCTTGTAGGCAACAAAGAAAGAAATGCACACACTAAAGAAAATATTATTTTTAGTGATCAGTTTTCATAAATAAAAACTGTGACCGTTCACCAGTTTCATGTTGACACGGGTTTCTCCAATTCAGCATGTAAGATTGGCACCGGTGAGAGAGAGAGCAATTTATGTCAAAATCATGGGTGGCTCAATGGTTAGCACTGTCACCTCACAGCAAGAAAGTCACTGGTTCAGCCAGTTGGCATTTCTGTGAGGAGTTTGCATGTTCTCCCCGTGTTGACTTGGGTTTCCTTTGGGTGCTCCAGTTTCCCCCACAGTCCAATCACATGCGCTATAGATGACCTGAATAAACTAAATTGGCCGTAGTGTATGTGTGTGTGTATGGGTTTTCAGTACTGGGTTGCAGCTGGAAGAGCAGCCGTTGTGTAAAACATATGCTGGAATAGTTGGCGGTTCATTCCGCTGTGGCGACCCCTGATAAATAAAGGGACTAAGCCGAAGGAAAAAGAATGAATGACTGACATGGATTATCATAAATGTGTACATGCAACTCCCTGTGATGAACAACAAAGTATTGTGAAAATGGTATGTAAACGCTGCATTATTTATGGTTTGAACGTGTGTAACAATAGTTGTGTTTTACCTTTGGGGATTGATGATACAGACTACTGCCATTGCCAGAACCCGGGTTCGAACTATGCACTTTCTTTTTTTCTCTTCTTTCTCTTTTTCTTCAGTGTTTTTCTCTTTTCTTTCTGACAACTTTCCAATCTGCTCTCTCCAATTTGCTGTATGGCTTTACACAGCTGACTGTCTTTGCCAATCAGTAGTCTCACTTGTTTACTGCCTTTCCAGCTTTTTTTGGTCAACTGGTGAAGTTTTGTTCCTCGCCACTGGCTTGCTTGGTTTGGGATTTGTAGAGCTGCGCATCCATGGATTTGCTCTTAAGTGTTTGGACTCTCAACAGTGAATATTAAACCACACTAAAGTAAACTTAAACACTGAAAACTGGCCTGACACTGTTTCAATTCACTGTAATCTTTTATGTGAAGCTACTTTGACACAATCTACATTGTAAAGTGCTATACAAATTAAGGTGAATTTAACTGTATTGAACCTGCCTTTCATTCACAAAGTCGTTTGCAATTGGGTAGATTCATTATCAGTCAAGAAAGAAGGTATCTTTTCATAGGACAACACTGCAGAAATGACTCTTTCCAGTACTGGGAGGACTGTTTCCAGTCCTAGGAGCTTTTTGGATGGTGGCACGTCTACTTTCAGCTATTTGGTTCAATATTGGTTCAATAATGTGTCAATCAAAAGGTCGGCGACCATTTTGATGACAAAATATTTTGTTTACATCTGAAAGACGCTAATGGCAACGCAGTGGTGCAGAAGGTAGTGCTGTCGCCTGACAGCAAGAAGGTCGCTGGGTCGAACCTCGGCTCAGTTGGCATTTCTGTGTGGAGTTTGCATGCTCTCCCTGCATTCGTGTGGGTTTCCTCCATATATATACATATGTGACCTTTACTTAGATAAGGAAGATTTTATTTTAGGCCTGCACACAGAGCAGTAACAGTGAGATCAACAAGGTTTTACTTCGCATCCACATCCACAGCAGTTCTCCCTAACTCTGCTTTTATCTTATAAGCTTAAATCACTATGATATAAAACAAAGAGAAAATATATAAATACAGAAAATGCATAACTAATATAGCTGAATAAACACAGTAAATACCTGAACACAATATATAATAGAAAATGACCTGCACACAGAGCAGTAACAGTGAGATCAACAAGGTTTTACTTCGCATAAGCACATGGGGGAAAACACTTAAAACGAGATTAAAAGTATCAAAATCAAACAAATATAAAAAGAAAACCCACTCTATTAATCAATAAATGTATATATAGTGTGCTATACTTTTAAATCTGCGTCTAATCAATAATTAAAATTATATTTTTATCTCTTAGTGTGAAGCTAACACAAACCCGACTCACCCACAGCAGTTCTCCTTAACTCTGCTGCAGTCTATACCCAAACTCTGTGCGCAATAGCGCCACCGGCCAACTAACAGGAACTGCAACTCCCATTAAAGCAGGATTTAATAAAAAAATACTATACATGTTATACATTTATTTCGTTACACATATATACACATTTGTGAATATAAAGGTACAAACTGATATTATATATAATGTCAGAGTATATAAATGAAGGGTCTTATAAAATAAAGGTAAAACAGGTAAAACAGACAAAATAACCTGTTGTTGTCACCTATATTTTAGATAACATCTTAGTTTCTCCAATACCATACTGTTAGATCACTTAAGTTTCAGAAATGGAGATCAAACTATCATGTATTCAGTTCTAATGAAGAACGGTTGTAATCTTTGCTCTGTTCATTAATCCAGTGGCTCAGGATTGTTCCAAAAATTGTGACAAGATAGTAAAAACGCTGACCCAACGTCCCAATTCTCCTGGAAGTCCTGCATACCCCAACAATAATTTTCCCACCAAATGCCATGTAGATATTGAATGAACTGTTATTGAGCCAAATTCTTTAAATGCTCTGAGTTTAATTCCTGAAAAAAGCAAATCTTTTAATTTGTTAGAAGCAACCAATGATTTCTCGATTCATTTCCATGAAGGAGCTGGTAAGAGCTGTACATTTAGAGAGTTTCCCAGAGATTATAACCAAAATGACTAGTATTTCATCTTAAAATCCAGCAGTGTTATGCCACTGTGTGACCTTTTGGAGCATTTAATGTGATCCTGGGTTTACTTATCTAAATAAATGTAGATGTCATCCTCTGAACATCTATGCAAATGACTGCTCTGCTGCATTTCTGTCACAAGATCTTCAAAGAAAATTGTTAAAGCATATCTGATAAACTGATTAATTACTGTAGTTGATTAATCGATTGATAAAATAATGAATAGCTGAAGCCATATTTGTGAGAATTAATTTAACATTACCATTAATGTGAGGTGAAGCACAATTATAATCAATTTGTGAATATGATTTATGGTTGGATGAATGGAACTCTCATTGGTTGTGTTTCTTGAATACCGTGCATAAATTACACTGAGCTCTATCATGGATAGGTTTAATTCACTAGGTTGGTGAGGGACAATCACTCACGGACCTGAAGTCATGCAACATGCTATTGATTCTTGAAGTAAAGGAATAAAAGAAAATATTTGGACAACTAGGCCCAATCCCAATTCTACCCCTAAGCCCTTTCCCTTGAGTTGTCCCAATTCTCTACAGCTTGAAGGTGTAGGTGCTAAGAGGAAGGGCTAGATAGCCCTTGAAATTTTACAGGACCACACTTAAAACCAAGGGGTACAAAAATTTCCCAGAATACACCAGCTACAACGGCAACATGACAGCACACGCCAGTCAGGAGGTACACAAATTAAGGCATTTTGTAGTAACAAGCAAGTTTTAATACAGTCACAATGGCGTTTGTGTTTTACAATCATGCTTTAAAAACTATTTTATAAAAAGTTGCAAAATCTATATTCCATAATAAAATCTATATAGCAGTCCCACAACATATTTTAACATCTGTCACTCCAATACCCTGTCAGATTAGTCTAGTGTATAGGTCTTAAACTGGATTCCTGGAGAGCCGCTTCTCTGCACAGTTTTGCTCCAACCCTAATCAAACACAGCTGATCCAAATAATCAAGGTGTTCAAAACTACTAGAGGCTATTAAGCCGGTGAGAGTTGGAAATGGCTGGAGCTAAACTGTGGAGAGCTGTGACGCTCCAGGAAGTTTAATGGAGTTTAAGGTCCATTGGTCTAGTGGCGGGAATGACGTTTTTACAGTGTCTGGTACGTTGATATTGTTTTCTGTTTACATAGATCAGGGGTCACCAATCCTGGTCCTAAAGGGCCGGTGTCCCTGCAGGGTTTAGCTCCAACTTGCCTCAACACACCTGCCTGGATGTTTTGAGTATACCAAGTAAGAGCTTGATTAGCTTGTTCAGGTGTGTTTGATTAGGGTTGGAGGTAAAATCTGCTGGACACCGGCCCTCCAGGAACAAGTTTGGTGATCCCTGACATAGATGAATATGGCCACGGTGTAAATGCACAGTACAGTTATGATATTATTGCCACATTTTATCGTCATGATAACATTATCATGACGATACAACAATATCATTGCCTTCAGTGATTTAGAGGATTAATACCAAAATTAGCCAAACTGGAATGACTCCAGCAGTCAGCATCATTGATCTCATATGAATTAAGTGCTTGGGACAACATATGCTGATGTGTGCGGGTATAGTAGTGCTGACCCATTTCTTAGGGGGTAAATTTGAAGCCCTTTGCCTTCACACATTGTTTCAAGGGCCATAAGGAAGGGGAATAAAAATAGAATTGGGATTGGGCGTAACATGATACTGCACAAATTAAGACCAATGTTACACTTTAAAACTCATCGGACGAAAGAAAAATGACTGGTTTATGACACATGTAAAAACCTCCAATCAGAAGCACTGTTAACAATAACAAATGAGACAGCATAACTTGCCTATTTCAGTCTTTGGTTAAACTGAACTCACACAGATACAAGTTCTATAGGGAGCGCCTTGACAGGGACGCAGCCCTCCCAAATCTCTAAATTACACAAGTTTACAGTGCAAGAAGTTGTCTTTGGACTGTAATCAGTGAAGAGAACAGATTCAATTTGGTCTGGGATGTGAAGATTTAAGAGCCTTGGCTTCTTGAAGAATTCTCACTCCTCGTATCTTAATAAGCAAAAAAATTGACATGCTAAGACGTCCACTAGTATAAAATTCATAAATCTGATGCGGTCAAGTTGTTTGTATCTTCACTTCATTGCCCCTAAGATTCACCCAATGGACAAAAACACAAGAAATGTGCCAACACCAGTTATGAAGATGGCCTGGAGTAACGCGCATTCTCTCATGTGTTCATATTGATGTTAGTGCATCTGAGCGCGAGTATGAAAACCGGTGTATGTTTAGTTTTTCTGTGTGCAGAGTTGATAAATGAGGCTGCTCTGTTTGGTCTTCAGGTCGAGGTTTGATTATTTTTAAGTCTGATAGTGTATGATTTCATATTCATATCCTCCTCAACTCCTCTGAGATGTCGAGTTTGGACTCTCATTGAGGAATGTAATAGAAACTCACTTTGACTGATGTGAGGGAAAACAAAAGTGCAAGTCTGATTCTTTATCTTCTCTATTACACGTATTTATCCAAACTCTCAATAGCATCTCGTTTTGAGTATTTTCTCCACTCATCTTGGATCTTACTTCTCCCTTCAAATATTTCCTTGTACTCTTTTTCCAGATCTTTCTGGAATCTACAGACAAACCACTTCCAGTAGGGCAGTTCAGAGAGATCAGGAGTGATGCTCCACTGTGCATAAACTCCTCCTGCTCTTCTGTAATATCTCCAGGGGAACCTTCCATCTGGTGTGTTAAAATTCTGACCACTTGCCACTAAATCTGTACAAATATCAGAATGGAGATTTGGAGAGTACTTTCTTCCATTAATTCCTCTCACTCTGTGGAAAGCAACACTGTGATCTCCATGATGGTTTTCTCTGGTGTTTGTGCAGGTTGCTCCACAGAATGGACACTGAACCCAACAGCACTGACAGAAGTGATCAATCAGAAGCTCATCTGGCCTGAACTTATAGTCCAGCTTTACTGGAAATGTGTCTGTGTTGAATCTGCTGCTGATGTCTGACATTACAGCAGGAAGCTCTTGTCTGATCACATCTTCTAGGAGTGTGAAATCATCAACATCATCATGTTTGACTCCACTGAGGTCTTTTTCAGAGAAGATCAGCTGATCTGAGAGCTGCTGTGTGAAACTCTTCAACCACAAACCAACATCTCCACTGTTGACTTGAACATGTTCAGTAGATTGATGTGCTGCGTTCATGATCTTCTGCTGCAGGAGTTTAATGTTCTCCTTCATCTTGGGTAAAACACTGATGCTGAACTTATCTCTGATGTAGCGCCTGACTTCATCTCTGATGAAACTCTTGTAGTGACCTCTGGGATAATGAATGTAGTTCATGTATTTGTTAAAGTCCTCCTCTTCTGCCAGTGTCTTCAGGATGTGTTTCTCCAGCTTTAATCTGTTTCTATTCAGTGATTCACAGTTTTTCATAATTTCATCTGCTAAATCTCTGGCAGTTTTCTTGTAGACGCTCTGCTCAATGGGCTCCTTCAGTTTCTGACAGATGATCTCAGCAAAAATAGCCACTGACTTTGCTTGGCTTCTCTTCAGTTCATCTTCATGCATTTGTTGAAGGAGAGTCAATTTTAAAATTTCAAAATTATTTTGTTGATCTTTCTTCAGTCTCTTCTCTAAATGCTCTAGTTGTTCTTGTCTCTCTCTTTCTGTTATTTCTTCCTTTTTGATTATTCCTTCTATTTCACTCTTAAGTCTCTGAATTTGTTCACCTAAAACCTTTCGTTCTTTCTCTTGATTCAGTCGTTCCTCTTCCACCATCATCTTTAGTCTGTCTTTCTCTTTCTCAAGTTTTTTCATCTTTTCTTCTGTTTCTCTCACTCTGTCGATCAGGATCCTCGTCTGCTGTTCTTGTTTTTCTCTCTCCATCTCTCTGAACATCTTACATGAGTAGAAGCTTCCTCCGTTTGCCTTCACCATGTTGTCTATCTTCTCCAGTAGTTCAGACACTTGTGTTCGCTCTTCAGGCTGATTATTGTTGATCACATGGTATCGGTTTCCACAAGTTTCAAGCAGTTGTCTGACCACAGATCCTGGTTTACCTAGAAACTCTTTAATGGTCTGATTCTTCAGGAAGTCTCCTCTGGTGAAGAGCACCACAGTGAACATTAAAGAGTTTTGACCAAACGTCTCCTGGATAAACTTTACAGATTTCGCCTCTTCTTTAGTGAATCTCTGTCCTAAACTGAGCACGATGATGAACACATGTGGTCCAGGCAGAATCATGGAGATGCAGTTGCTGATTTCTCTCTTGATCTCCTCTTTACTGAGTTCAGTATCAAACAGTCCTGGAGTGTCGATCACAGTGATGCGTCTGCCATTGATTTTAGATGTTTCTCTCTGACTCTCTTCAGTAACAGATTCTTGAGATGTGCCTGCTGCAAACACGTCTCTTCCTAAGATTGTGTTTCCTGTTGAACTTTTACCAACTCCAGTTTTTCCCAGAAGAACAATCCTCAGTTCATCTTCTCTATCAGCTGAACCTGTAAAAGAGAATCTACATTAGTCAGTCTTTCGAACATGATTAAAAAATGCCCCTTTCTTGCTTGTGTCTTTAGTTTGACGTTTGATGTAGTTGTTCATTGATTAGTTTGATGGGTTCCATGTTTGTTCTAGGTAGTCTTATTTGTCCAATTTATATGTAGGTCTTGGTGTTGTGTTCTTTGCTTATTTTAAGGAAAAACCCACTTAATTTTTAATGTTTGAAATAAAATATAATCAGCATAAGAACCAGGGTTACCATGGAAATGCATGTTGTGTTTACTATAGATGCTAAACTGCGCCTACGGAAAGACACTGAAATCTCAATATGATTTAATTTCTCATGATAATTCAGGTATGTTTCATAAAAAGTAAATATGATTGTTATAAATAATGTAAAAAAAAAAAACACACAACTACACAGTTCCCAGCACATAGCTTATTTATGGTAGTTAACAGAGAAGTCATTCCGATGAAAGTACCAGTAAATTGACAGTTGGTCTGAGTTATGTTTCTTACAACTGTCTAGCCAATAAATAATATCTATTTATCTCAGTATGTGATAATTGAACAGAAAATTACTTCAATGTAAATCAATATTTCTTAATGTACATAGTTTATGAGAGTAATATTGTGCTATGATCATCAGCAGTGTTGCTCTTGCAGGCTGCTGGAGATCACTCACATTCAACTCCACTACAGATCCCATCATGCACTTCACTCACACACCTGGCCCAGATCTCACTTGATGGCAAACCCAAAGCTGAAGCTTGTAAAGTGCTTGTGATTACCTGGACTATATACAGACCAAACACACACATACCTCTGTGTCTTGTAAGCTGTTAGCTGTAACATTTTAAAGCATCCTTTTTGTTTTAAGTTGTTTTAAGTCACCTCCATTGTACCCTGACTTCCTATGTTACAGAAGACTCAGCCACAACATGGGCCCAACAGAACAACTCCTCCAGCTTAGTCAAGGAGTGAACACCCTTGAGGACCACATCTGTAAGTTTTTGGACATTGCAAACTACTCAGACCTCCCAGACTGTATGCTCATTGACTGTGTCTATCATGGACTAATTGAACCATTCAAAACTCCACTAATCCAGTTCGGTCCTTGAGTGTCTTTCCACGAAGCTCTGGATGTAACCCTACAGGTCAGTGCATGACCCTTTACAGTTGGCAAGGTGGAGGAGGTAACCACTAAATACTTTTTGGGGGGAGGGGGACACTCAACCGCAAGACCTGCCTTAGGGCTTGCCACTCACAAAATGGCCACTAGCACTCCCACCAGATCCTTCTGTAATCCCAGAGTGCTGGGTGTCAGATCCTCCCGAATTTCACGAATGGCCAGATCCTCCCGAGTCCCATGAATGGCCAGAGCCATCCCCTGAGTCCCAAGTTACTGTTTTCCCTTTGTCTTTGTGGATCCAATCAGGCCAAAGAAACTGTTTTGTTCGTAAACTTCACTGGACACTATCTACCACATTTACATGACTTGTTTAGCCACCTCATCCTTAACACTGCCCCCTCCCCATAACATTTATACACAGGACAACTCTGCTCAATTTAGAATAAATTAGACTCTTTTACTAAAGTAGACTTTAAGAGTCTCTTGTAGATACACACAGACTACTTGAAGATGCTGTTTGATTGAAGAACAACCAACACGTCTCAATAAAAATTCTGCTTGTAACGAGTCTCCTGGCCCGAGCATTGAAATTTACTTCAACACTTAATAGGGACAAAACCGAATTATACTGTCACAATCATCAGCTGAAGAGCCAATGAGCTTCACCACTGGTCACTTTACCCAACATTCTTGCCTCTCTGACCTGAAATAGACTGCTTAAAAATAAAGGGAATACTCAACACAATGTAACTCCAAGTCAATCACAATTCTTTACAATCAATCTGCCCACTTAGGAAGCAACATTGTAAATCGACTTCACATGTGGTTTTTAGTAATGGAATAGGCAAAAGGTGGAAACTATAGGCGTTTAGCAAGACTCCCCCAATAAAGGAGTAGTTCAGCAGGTGGTGACCACAGATCACCTCTCAGTTCCTATGATTTCTAGCTGATGTTTTAGTGACTTTTGAATGCTGGCGGTGTTTTTACTCTAGTGGTGGCATGAGATGGACCCTACAACCCACACAAGTGGCTCAGGTAGTGCAACTCATTCAGGATGGCACATCAATGCGAGCTGTGGAAAGAAAGTTTGCTGTGTCTGTCAGTGTAGTGTCTAGAGCATGGAGGCACTACCTGGAGACAGACCAATACATCAGGGGACATGGAGGAGGCAATAGGAAGGCAACAACTCAACAGTAGGACCGTTCGAGGTTACTAAAGTAACCCTTCGTTCCCCGAGGAGGGGAACGGAAGCACTATAAGTGGATTTGATTGTTAAAATCCACGTATTGGGAGGTTCGGTTCAGAAGCTACTCGTCTGAAAGAGTATTGAACGGGCCAATTCAGAATGAATTGGCAGCGCAAGCCTGCGCAGGTGAGCGACATAAGCAATCAACTGAGTATATAAGCTCACCTGGCGCCAGCAGACGCTATCCTTTTTAAGCTGAAGAGACTTTTAACAGCTAAGGGACAGTCATTATGGCGATGGAGTATAGTGCTTCCGTTCCCCTCCTCGGGGAACGAAGGGTTACTTTAGTAACCTCGAACGTTCCCCTTCGGGGGGAACTCCAGGACTATAAGTGGATTTGATTGTTAAAATCCACGTATTGGGAGCCCATTGAAAGCGCCATAATGACTGCACCTTACCAACACCCACCATGAGAGAGCGGTCAGGCAAGCGTGACGCACCCAGATCATGAGAGGCGTGGTCCTCCAACGTGCCCTTGGCCCTAACTTATCCCACTTCAAAAAGAAGTTTTACGGAATAGGTATCTTTTTTGGGAGTCGCTAGCGTCTAGATAATTCTAGGAATATACGACAGTACATTGGGAAGCGTGCCATCCCAGTAGGGAGGACGCTGCGGAGACCATCCGCACCCAATAGGGGGAAACAAATGGAATTACATATGGACTAACCCTGAAAAGGGGGAGTGCACATAAAAGGTGGTTAGCAGATAGGGAAAGCACGGGTCCGCCCAGGGGGGAACTTAACCGTGGCGGAAAAAGCATATGGGGATCACCAGCGGGGATCGGCCATAGCAGGCACCTATACCCAAAACGCGGGCTGACCAGCGGGCAGACCTACTACGTAATGGGCCAGCAAGTGACTCCTCCGCTGAGTCAGTGCTTAGGGCCTCGGAGGAATCTGCAGGGCTCACCGAATGGGGAACTTTACTGACAGAGAGGAGGGTGCACATCTCTCCGTGTTAGGGAAAAAAGGCACCGCAAGCGTGTACAACACCTACCGAGTTGTTTCCTCAATCACCAAAGGTACCTAACACCCTTGAGGAAACCGGCTCCACTCGCAGATTATAAAATCTTGCAAATGTGTTGGGTGTCACCCAGCCTGCAGCTCTACAAATGTCTGTTAAAGAAGCGCCACGCGCACACGCCCAAGAGGATGCAAAGCTCCTAGTGGAGTGCGCATGCACTCCTGGGGGGCGCGGCTGGCCTCTGCTCAAATAAGCACATAAAATGGCCTCCACAATCCAGTGGGATAAACGTTGTTTAGACACGGCACTTCCCTGCTGCCGTCCGCCATAACAGACAAAGAGCTGCTCAGAAGATCTAAAGTTCTGAGTACGATCCACATAAATGCGCAGAGCGCGAACTGGACAAAGTAGGGACAGGGCTGGGTCTGACTCCTCCGGGGGCAGCGCTTGCAGGGTTACTACCTGATCTCTAAAAGGAGTGGTAGGAACTTTGGGCACATAACCCGGCACATAATTCCAGGCACGAGTCACTGACCGAAAATGCCTCCAGGTCCCCGACCCTCTTAATGGAGGCCAACCCGACCAGCAGAGCTGTCTTCAGGGACAGAAATCTTAAAGATACTGTATCGAGTGGCTCGAAGGGATCAAATCGCAAGCTCGTGAGAACGAGGGCGAGATCCCAAGAGGGCGTGAGAGGGGGGCGAGTTGGATTAATTCGCCTAGCGCCTCTGAGGAACCGGATGATGAGGTTATGCTTTCCCACGGTGCCGCCAGCCACCGCGTCATGGTGAGCAGAGATGGCAGCAACGTAAACCTTGAGAGTGGAGGGCGACAGCCTGCTGTCCAGCTTCTCTTGAAGGAAAGAGAGCACAACACTGATCTGGCAAGATCGGGGGTCTTCTCTGCGAGAGACACACCACTCAGTGAATAGACTCCACTTCAGGGCGTAGGCGCGCCTTGTGGAGGGGGCTCTAGCCTGAGTGATGGTATCAACCACCGCGGGGAAACGCATACTTGCGTACGCCCCGAGGCCAGCTGTGGGCCAGTGCATCCATGCCGAGAGTGCCCTAGGTCAGGGAATAAAACAACTGGCAATGAGCGTTCTTGGGGGAAGCAATCAGATCGATCTGGGCCTCCCCGAATCGCGCCCATATCAGCTGGACAGACTCGGGGTGGAGTCTCCATTCTCCAGAGTGAATCTGCTGCCGTGAGAGCACATCGGCTGCACGGTTGAGCATACCTGGGATGTGAATGGCGCGCAGCGACTTCAGCCGCAGGTGACTCCAGAGGAGCAGATGGTGGGCGAGCTGAGACATGCGGCGAGAGCGCATACCCCCCATGCGGTTGATATACGCCGCCGTACTGTCCGTCCTGACCAGCACGTGTTGCTGCCCCAGCGCTGGAGAAAAACGGTGGAGAGCAAGGAACACTGCCAACAGCTCTAGGCGATTGATGTGCCAATGCAGCTGGGCACCTACCCACAGGCCCGCAGCTGCATGCCCGCGACACACGGCTCCCCAGCCTGTGCTGGAAGCATCTGTCGAAACAACAACATGACTGGACGCCTGTTCCAGAGGCACACCAGGAATGCAGGAACGAGGGGTCGTTCCAGGGGCTGAGGGTGCGGCGACACATCGCAGTAACAGAGACTCGGTGTGTGCCCGCATGCCATGCGCGTCTCGGAACTCGATCTTGAAGCCAGTGCTGAAGTGGTCTCATATGGAGCAATCCGAGCGGCGTGACAGCCGCAGCGGAAGCCATATGCCCCAGGTGCCTCTGAAAATATTTCAGTGGGACCACTAACTTGCTGTCGAGCTCCCTCAGACAGTTCAGCAGCAGGCGAGCGCGCTCTCCGGAGAGGCGCGCTACCATGGTGACCGAGTCCAGCTCCATCCCGAGAAAAGAGATCCTCTGCACAGGGGCGAGTTTGCTCTTTTCCCAGGAGACATGAAAATACGCGTCCTTCAGGTCTATGGCTGCAAACCAATCCTGAGGACGAACGCATCGGAGGATGCGCCTCTGCGTAAGCATTCTGAACGACAGCTTGTGAAGGCAGCGATTCAAAACGCGCAGATCTAGGATTGGCCGTGACCCACCGCTCTTTTTGGGTACGATGAAGTACGGGCTGTAAAACCCGCTCTCCATCTCGGCTGGAGGAACTGGCTCGATTGCACCCTTCGCCAGGAGGGCAGCAAACTCCTCTCGCAAGACAGGGGCGGACAGGGGATTGACCCTGGTGAAATACACGCCTGTAAACCTGGGAGGCCGTTTGGAGAACTGTAGTTCGTAGCCGAGTCTGATCGTGCGTATGAGCCACCGCGAGGGGCTGGCCCGCGCTAACCAGGCAGGCAGAGCGTGACGCACCCAGATCATGAGAGGCGTGGTCCTCCAACATGCCCTTGATCCTAACTTATCCCACTTCAAAAAGAAGTTTTACGGAATAGGTGTCTTTTTTGGGAGTCGCTAGCGTCTAGATAATTCTAGGAACTTTCTAGGAATGACGTCATCGCAGCAATCGTTGACGTACCCGCGGAGGGGCAGCGAGGAGCGGGTGTGCTGATCCGGGGAGCGCGAGGGTCCCACAGAAGAGCTGGAGGAGAGCGTTTCGCTCTGGCTCCGCACCCTGACTCCTGAGAGGGGGCTTGGGAGAAGGGAGACCGTCCCCCCAGCGCCCGAGAGCCGCTGGCGGAGCATGCAAGCCCTGCGAGCTGAGAGGCAGCGCGTCCCAGACTGGCGGGGCTTGAGCTGTCACATCCGGGGAAGGGAGAAAATGCTCTTTGATCAAAACTTTGGTGGCACTGAAAAGTACCGTTGGATTTTGGGCCCCGCCCTCCAGCGGGGAAAGAACAAGTCTCCTCTTCTCCGGATGGCCTGTCTCAGGGCAGGAGGGGCTACCGGCTTTCGGCGTGCTCGACGCGCTCGATTCGCCGGAGGCGGGGGCGGGGCATCGGCCGTTGGCGGGCGCCCTCGGCGAGGAGCAGCGGAGGTGGATGGCTCGGCCGGGGATGGAGCGGGCTTACGGCCCCGCCGATAGATGACTTTGCCCATCGCATCCGACTGCTCGCTCACCGCCTTGAACTCCTGGGTGAAATCACCGACGGTGTCGCCGAACAGGCCAGCCTGGGATATGGGCGAGTCAAGAAAGCGAACTTTGTTGACATCACGCATATCTGCCAGGTTTAGCCAGAGGTGGCGTTCCTGGACCACAAGTGTGGACATCGTCCTCCCCAGTGCGCAGGCGGCGGACTTAGTGGTCCGGAGAGCATAGTCGGTCGCCGTACGCAGCTCGTGTAACAAGCCTGGGTTAGACCCACCCTCGTGCAGCTCGGCCAGCGCCTGCGCTTGGTAGCGCTGGTAGGTGGCCATCGCATGCAAGGCGGAAGCTGCCTGGCCCGCAGCCTTGTAAGCTCTAGCTCCGAGGGAGGCAGAAAACTTACAGGCTTTGGACGGGAGACGGGGCGGACCACGCAAAGCGGGGGCGCCACGCGGACAAAGATTGACCGCAATGGCGCGCTCCACCTGCGGGATCGCCTCATACCCCCTGGCAGCTCCACCATCCAGGGTGGTGAGGGCGGAGGCGGACGCAGCGCGGGCAGAGAAAGGTGCCCTCCAGGACTGCGTGAGCCTACTGTGCACTTCCGGGAAGAAGGGGACGAGAGGCTTCGAAAGCTTCGCCTTCTGATCCTCTACGTAACACCCATCTAGTCGGTCCGGCCGCGGGGCTGGGGGATAAACCATCTCCAACCCGACGGCCGAAGCAGCCCAAGAAAGCACGGCCAACATGTCCGCTTCAGGATCCGTTTTGACGGCGCTCGCTTGCCCAGAGGGGGCGAGCGGGTCCGGATCATCGTCAGACAATGAAAGCCCATCCTCCGATGCCGCGGAGGACATCTGATCTCCGGTGTCAGCGAGCGTGAGAGCTACCATCTGATTAGACGGATCACTCTCAGTACCCGAAGCTTGGATGGAGCGCTTGGAGGAGCGAGAGGTCCGCGAGCCCGTGAGCGGCGGATTGTCTCTCGCTGAAGCCCTCAGATCTGCCCGAGCGCCCGCTGCAGAGCAGGAGGCAACTGGGGTGGCTCGCTCTCTTACGAAAGCTAACCGCGATCTCAACTGCGCAACGGTCATGGCATCGCAGTGACGACATGAACCGCCCCCGAGCACCACATTAACATGCTGGACCCCCAAACATGTAATGCAGTGATCGTGTTCATCATCCGGAGCCAGGAAACCCCCGCAACCAGAAACGCACAGTCGGAGCGCCATCCTGAAAAGGACGTGCTGCACGACTGTGTTGCTCTTTTAGGATTTGCAACAATACGCACCGCTCTTGGAGGACCGGACCCAAAGGGACGCCAGGCAAGGGAGATACCCAGCTCGACCGTCTGCCGCTGCGTGGACTCGCTCTGGACCGGGATGCAATCGTTTTCTCGAAATGGCTGTAGATCAGCAGGAGGAACCCTCATAAGCTCGATCAGAAAAGGCTCTGAAGCGAAAAGGATAGCGTCTGCTGGCGCCAGGTGAGCTTATATACTCAGTTGATTGCTTATGCCGCTCACCTGCGCAGGCTTGCGCTGCCAATTCATTCTTAATTGGCCCGTTCAATACTCTTTCAGACGAGAAGCTTCTGAACCGATCCTCCCAATATGTGGATTTTAACAATCAAATCCACTTATAGTGCTGGAGTTCCCCCCGAAGGGGAACACTACCTATGCGTTGTGCAAGGAGGATGACACAAACAACAACCAAAGCCCTGCAAAATGACCTCCAGCAGGCCACAAATGTGCATGTGTCTGATCAAACAGTCAGAAACAGACTCCATGAGACTGGTATGAGGGTTTGACAAAATCTGATCGGATTATTGTCCAGTCTGTCTGGAAGGATATGAAGAAACAGAACAAACTAAGACTAAAAACTTAACCCAAAACTACTTTGGGAACATCTTTAAGATGTTTAAAAAAAAAAAAAACGACCAGCAAAGCTACCAGAAAAACTCTGGGCAAGTGTAGCGAGTGTTATAGTGCAAAATGTGGTCATACCAAACATTGATATGTTGTTATTATAAGTTAATTGATAAATAAAATGTATGTATGCATTATTTTTTTAAAGCATCCGAATTTTACAGCATTTTAGACAAATGCCTAAAACTTTGAACAGTACTGTAGATCTGCAGGCAGGTTTTTGAAGCATCTTTGAGATATTGCCAAATTTCCTCTGGATTGAATTTCAGGTCTCAGTTTGTACAGTTTCTTCCTGTCGTTCCAGACAGACTGGATGATCAGATTAGATCTCTGTTTGGAGCACTGGCTTTTGGCAGACAATAATCTCACTGTAGAATTACAATTAATGAAAAAAATAATGTTGGCAAATGTAAACTGATATTTCAAACTGACATGCTACAGAAAAATATAGAAATAGCTGACTTTAAACCTATTTCTGGTAAAGATGCCTAAGAGTTTTGCATATATATATTTACAGAGAAAAATTTAGAGAATTTAAAAAGTTAAACTTGACCGTGGGGCTAGTTTTTGTACAATTAGACTATTCAACTTTCTTTAATATTGCAGTGTTGCATGTCTGATATGTTTTAAAAAAATTCATGCCCACATTTTAAAACCTAATTGTATTTTCAACTCAGTACCTTGTGACAGAAAGTTTGTCTCCAGCGAATGAAGTTTCTTCTTCATCTCTTCATATTCTGTATTTTTTTCCATCTGCACCTCCAGAAATGTCTCTGTGGAGTAAAAGTCTCCTCTGTTTTCCTCCAGCATCTTCTCGATGTTCTCCATCAATGTGGACACTTGTGTTCTGGGATTAAAGTAATGATGTCTTCCTCCAAAACTCTGAATGACAGCCTGTGTTTCTTCATTGAGTTCTGCTGTCTGATGCTCTGAATTCTGCATGATGAGGATCATGATGTGTTTGTTGATTCTGGAGCTGAAGATCTTCTGGATCTCCTCCATTTCTGCTCTGTCTTCATTATTGAGTGGAGCGTCAGGAATAATGAGGAGGAAAGCATGAACTCCAGGATGACAGCGAGACACACAGCGGAGAGTCTGACGCATCACTTCCTCCTCTGAGAGCCCAGTGTTGAACAGAGCTGGAAGCTCCAGCACATTGATCAGGCGACCATGAAGATCCACGTCTGTCCTCATACTCTCTGATCTTCTGTGTGTGTGTTGCAGGATCAGCTCTGAGATGGAGGATTTCAGTGACCCGTCGCTCCCACACACCAACACATTCAGCCTCTCACAGTCTGAAACTGTAGAAGAACATTAAGAACCATTCATACAGCACCAGAATCATCAGATATGATCACACTCACCTGTCTGTATGTCCCGTTTCTCTACTGTAAAACACTGTGTGTCTTCAGCAGAACCCAGGAATGGTTCATCACCCACTTACATGAAGACAAATGGTTTAGTTAGCATGATATAATTATAATAATACTGCAATCATACAGAACTGATCAACAGACAACTATTTATTATGAGATCAACTTTTGTCTACTTCAGTATATGCTATCAGGGGTCACCAATTTTGGTCCTGGAGGGCCGGTGTCCCTGCAGAGTTTAGCTCCAACTTGCCTCAACACACCTTCCTGATTGTTTCAAGTATACCTAGTAAGACCTTGATTAGCTTGTTCAGGTGTGTTTGATTAGGGTTAGAGCTAAAATCTGTAGGACACCAGCCCTCCAGGAACAAGTTTGGTGATCCCTGCTGTATATAAATGTTCACTGTCTCTTTAAAAGTACTTATGGGGTGATTAAAATGATTTGACTTTTGAATTATTGACTGTTGACATTATTTTTCTAGGGTCACTAACAATATTATGTGGCTTTTGATTGGATTTTAAATGTTTTGTTAAAATCCAAAGTAAATTTTGGATTTAAAACAACATTTCTTGTATAAATGTTCTTGAGTTGCCTTTAACGTTTACAACTTAAACATGCATAATTTCATTTGCCCTTTGGTTTCTTTTGTATTCATCATACACTGAGGGTGTACTCACATCAGGCTACATAAACCGTGCCTGGGCACGTCTGACTCCCATTTCCTAGTTTTGACAAGTGTGAGTGCTCCATGCTGTGCCTGGGCACGGTTCAGTTGGCTCAGGCACAGTACACTTGAGTTCAAAGTGTGCTTGAGTGTGAAACTGAAGACGTGACATCACCATTAAGATACAGTTTCATATGGATTTATTAGTCATTCTTATATTTCAATAAAAGCAAACTATCATAGTACATGAAAGACACAAACCCCCTGCTGCACGACAGCTGCACCTTCAGCAAACCTCCTAATACCTGCAGCACGAGGACTTTATGAACATTTATGAGCATCACAGTTGGCGGATCTGTTCAGCAAAATATTTGACTGTGTGTAACTGCATCCCAAACAACTAAAATAATACAAAACGGTATAACTATGTCTACTGTGCTGAGCGCTTCTCTTCTGTTAAACAGAACAGTCGAATCATCAATGAGGTAAACGTGCTCCGGCTCGGAAGCTAAAGAGGCTGTGTGAGTGCAGGACATCACGAGAGAGGGGATGGGGAACAATCAGGCCCCGGCATGCTTCAAGGCAACCATGTGTAACCCCGCCGGTCCTACACTACTCAACCCGCTCTGAGCTGGTATTGAACCGGCGACCTTCCGCATGGGAGACGGGTGCTCTACTAAGGAGGCTAAAGACCTCTAGCGTCTGTCGCTAGAGCACCTTTAGAGGTCATAGGAGTGAGGTTTACCTGCACAACACACACTAGCTGGCCTCTGTTACACTTATCCCCCATCAGGGTCACGGCACTAATGTAACCCTGCCGGTCCTACGCCACTCAACACGCTCCGAGCTGGTATCGAATCAGCGACTTCCCGCATGGGAGTCGGGTGATCTACCAAGGAGGCTAAAGACCATGGCATCTTGCGTCTGTCGCTAGAGCACCTTTAGAGGTCAGAGGAGTGAGGTTTACCTGCACAGCACACACTAGCTGGCCTCCGTTACACGTGCCTAATGTAAGTACACCTTCAGACTCATCTGAGAATTAAATTTTGTCCTTGCCATTGTTGATAATGCTGTAGTCTGTTGATTAAGCTGAGGGAATGTTTAACATCACAGATAGAAATGAAATTAAAGCATGTTCAGTAAGAGTTTTGACAGACTTATTTAGTTTGATTTTAGAGGTTTTTGTTTACTGACAAATGGAAAGACTTACATGAAGGTGGTCTAGTCCTGCTGTGTTCTCTCCTGCTTGCAGTCCCTGTATGAAATAGAAGCCTTATATTCAGTTCATAAAAGACAAATGTATAGGTGTACAATTCTGCACAGAAGCAATCAGCACTGGTTAAAGTATAAGTGTGAGAAGCTGAGAATATTGGGGGATCAGATTACTGTTTGTGAGTGTTGTTGACTAGTGGAGATTATCACTTTCAAAATGTTTTTAAAATACAATTTACATATTACAATTTTCACTTATTACAAACTGTGATAAGTATAATACATCCTTCAGTATTACACAAATCTCTTTGTCCAAATTAGGGTCTTGGACTCAATTTAGGTATAAATTATAAAGGACAGAAGTGAAGCTGAGGGTGATGAGAGAGACACTTCACATGCAAGATAACCAGAATAATAAAGCTTTCAGAGTGTTTTAATGAATCGTTAATCTAATCTGTGTGTGATTCACCTCTTTCTTTTTCCCGGAACATGATGAAATTGTTTTCTATTTCATCCTTATCTTCAGTTGGTTATCTTTTCTGTCTGTATAGTGTCCTGTAAAAGATTCATCAGTCCTGAGACTGTGGGAGCTGCACACCTGCTGTGAGTCAATGAACAAACACACTGATTCAGATTCACTGAGTCAATAAATAATCACAGTGATTCGGATTCACTGGGTCAATAAGCAATCACACAAATTCAGCTTCACAGCAGTACTGTGGTTTAGGGCCTTTACTCTGTAAAAACTGTCCTGGACTTATTTTATCCTGCGTTTTACAAAGATATTCCAAAAAACATAAAAATTAGACACAAACATTGTTCTATGCCATAATAGCCAAACATTTACACTGATGGTCAAGCTGATTTAAAGTTCCCAAATGAGCCTGTGTTATTTATGGGTTGTTATATCGGGATAACCTACCTTGCAATGTCGCAAGTGATAAATAATAAAAGGATCAATCACTGCTCTCATGGAGAAATTAAAGAGAAAGACGAAATGTCTTGGGGTCGCAAGACTATATTCAGACCAGCCTGTGGTGAAGAGCGCTCAAGCTCAACACTATAGCTCAGTGGTCACCAAACTTGTTCCTGGAGGGCCGGTGTCCTGCAGATTTTTGCTCCAACCCTAATCAAACACACCTGAACAAGCTAATCAAGCTCTTACTTGGAATACTTGAAACATCCAGACAGGTGTGTTGAGGCAAGTTGGAGCTAAATCCTGCAGGGACACCGGCCCTCCAGGACCAGGATTGGTGACCCCTGCTATAGCTGCATCCCAAATGGCACACTATACACTATGTACTTAATGCACTTACACACTCAACAGTATAGTACATGAATTTAGTGTCGTCCCAAATAGAGCACTAATTATTTTACTAAGCGGAAATTCAAACCGTTACCCTGATGACGTTTGACGGTTGCCAAATCAATGAAATAAACGACCGAATTATCAAATAATACCTGCCGTGAGTATAACCACATTCACCATCGGGAGGCGCTATGATCACTCTCATAGGAGAATTTTGCTTTCACCATCCAAAATAAAGTTATCTCATATGTGCGCACGATAGCTCCGCCCCTTCTGCTACGTGAGCAAACCTGTGGTCGTTGAGAGCGTGAAGTGTCCATCAATGCACACTTCATTTTAGTGGCTGAATGAGTGCATCATCCGGGTAATTAAAGTGCACTTATTATTTTTAGAGTTTTCAGTGTGAACGCACTACTCACACTATTTATACTACAAAATGGCGTAGAATAGTGCATAAGTATGTGATTTGGGACGCAGCTTAAGTATAGTTTAGACTTCCATCTATACTCCTAGATTTATCTTCAAACAATTGATGCTGTGCTACATGCAATTGGCATGGTGAACGTTCATCTGTAAAATAAAGAGTTAAGTTTTGAGGCAATCTGAATTCTCCTGAAATCTTTTTATATCCAGTAGATTATGTGGAGTGGCGACGCAGTGGAGCAGTAGGTAGTGCTGTCGCCTCACAGCAAGAAAGTTGCTGGTTTGAGCCTCGGCTCAGTAGGCATTTCTGTGTGGAGTTTGCATGTTCTCCCTGTGTTCGCTTGGGTTTCCTCCGGGTGCTCCGGTTTCCCCCACAGTCCAAAGACATGCGGTACAGGTGAATAAATTGTCCGTAGTGTATGAGTGTTTGTGTGGATGTTTCCCAGAGATGGGTTGCTGCTTGAATGGCATATAATAAAGGGACTAAGCCGACAAGAAATGAATGATGTGAAGTCTATTGCTAGCTTGATCTGTGTACATGATATCCAAACTAATTACACAAGACTATAAAGCTGTCGGCCCTTCAGCTCGGAGAGTTTTCAATTTTTAGTAATCCCTGATTTAGCAAGTTGTACAGAAATTATCAAATTAAGTACGCTTTTAATACAAAAGAGCAGGAGGCAACCGGACTAATTAGCTTATAGTTAACCCTGCATCCTCTGACTAACTTCAGAATGTCGAGATCATGTCTGTGAGAAACTCTGTGCAGCATTGGGTCCCTAAAGAACATATAAATGAAAAGTACGGGATCAGAGATAAATCAAAACTCTAAATTGATTCATAAACTGCAAATGTGACTCATTTCTAGTTAGAAATACAGTCTAAATTAGATGATAAAATCAGATCAAATTTGGAGCTAAAACTAATATAATTGCTTTCTAATAAATAATAGAATTCTTTTTAGAAGTGCTAGACCAGGCGTACATGCATTTAACCTTCGACCATTCATTGGATTTGGTCATCGGGTCAATAGTATCAAATATTAAATTATCATTTAGACAACCAAACAGGTAAAACAGACCTTCATACTAACAGAAAAACTTGCGTACATGACCTGAGACCAGATGTGAGACTTGATCATAGCTACAGCTCACGTCCATATTGATAAATCTCAATGTTTGTGTTCTAATGACTGTATGCCCACTTTGTGTTGTATGTTAATTTAATAAATGCTAATTAAAACAATCACAAAAACATGACAGAGATCCGCTTCTTCAGACAGCAAATAACACATAGAGAATTACAGTTTAGGAAATCTGTGCTGAACAACATGAGCTTTGACCTTCATCTGTACATGAAGAATCTCTAACAAATGTAGATTGTTTTTGATGTGATTCTGACCAAGATGAAAGTGAAACTCACAGATTTTGCTGCAGTTCATACAGTTAATCACATTTATTAATAGGAGTTTTATTTAACATGTACATTTTATTTAACAAACAAAGAGAGTATTAGTAAGGAAAAGTGACACTGTACCTGTGTGTCGCAGTTTCTCCGTGTTCAGTGGTTTGTTTATGTTAGTGTGAGATCAGGAAGAGGTTTGCAGGTGGAGTCTTTCACAAATGTAAAACTGCAAAACTGTAAAAACCTGTTTAGTAACATTAAGTACAGGTACAAGTTTAAGCAAGACTTTTGGAGAAAAATTTGACAATTTACCATAAAGATATTCAGCAGCACAGACAGAAATCTGTCTATTCATTTCTATCAGTAAACATATTCTGTGTGGTGTTACATCTGTAGTATGTATTATGTTTGTTGTCTATTTGACAGGTGTTTTCTCAACAGAATTATCATCATCTTGAGGTCACCTTTATCAGGTCACCCGTAATTTAGCCCTTTTAGCATCACATATGTCGTCCTTTTTCAGAGTAAAACTGAAATGATATGTGTGCCATTGTTTTTTCTGTATGCCAAATTATTTGTTTTCTCAGGATCTGTCAAGCCAGGTAAGAGGTCATGGATACTTCTTAAGGGTAACTGGACTCTTGATGGATTGGAAGCAACTGTTTGCTGAGTTATTTGCCACTGCATGTGTTAATTCTTTTTGAATAAATTCCTTTGTATGCAAGCTCACACTTAGCTGATGATTGGTAATAAGCTAGTTTGGCATGCTGTCCCGGGAGAGAGCCCTGAGCCCATGAGATCCTCGAGCCCGAGGCTCCCTCCCGTTGCAGGGCGAGAGGGGAGTTTGAGCTCAGGTAGATCTCGAGAACCCCCCTCCTGCTGCTTAGGGATTGATATGAGGGTGTGTTGTTGGTGGAATTTGACTATGGTGCTGATTTGGTTGAGTCAATTTACCCATGTCTCATGTTTTGGACTGTGGGAGAAACTGGAAGACCCAGGGAAAACCCACGTGAGCACTGGGAGACATGAACTCCACACAGAAATGCAGTCTGATCGGGTAGAGACCTGAACAAGAGGCATTCTTGCTGTGAGGCCACAGTGCTAACCACTGTGCCGCCATGCTGCCCTATAGAGGAAAAGAGGAGGAGACGGGGTGGAAGGGGGGATTCTACAAGGTAAGATGCTTGGTTATTTATACTGAGTTAGGAATCGCCTGATTGGTGGTTTGTACATCAGTTTGACTCGGGTGCAACCTAAGGCAGGGGCGGTCACCTCTGAAAATGGGCACCTACCCAAAAACGGGGGTGTTTTTGTGAAAGATGGTGCTGAATTGGGGTGATGCTCTGTCAGCCTAAAGCATTGTTAGAGCACCTGTTTTGAAGCTACAGTAGTCTGCCTGAATAATGATCTTGTCCAGGTCTGGTCAAAAAAAGTGATCAAATTAACAATAATGATAAGACAGCCTACAGGAGTGAGGTGAGCAGGCTGGCTTTATGGTGTAAGGACAACAACTTCCACCTAAATGTGGAGAAGACGAATATTTCAATATTTCTGCAGTGGAAAGCATGAGCAGCACTGGGCGTGCAGATCTCCGAAGACCTGTCTTGGAACCACAACATTGCATCACTGGCCAGAAAGACCCAGCAACGACTGTACTTCTTTTGCAAACTGATGAGAGCAAGAGCCCCACCTTCCGTTATACACACCTTCTACAGTGTTACCATCAAAAGCATCCTGACCTGCTGCATCACCATGTGGTACATGGCCTGCACAGCGACATGTCGGAAGACTTTGCAGCACATTGTGAGAACAGCTGAAAGAATCATGACTGTCTCCTTCACCACCCTCTTAGACATCTACCGCTCCCGCCTTACCCGGAAAATCATTCAATTCAATTCAGCTTTATTTGTATAGCGCTTTTACAATGTAGATTGTGTCAAAGCAGCTTCACATAAATGGTCATAGTAACTGGAACAGTGTAGTTCAGTTTTTAGTGTTTAAGTTCAATTCAGTTCAGTTTAGCTCAGTTCAGTGTGATTTAATCATTACATAGAGTTCAAACACTGAAGAGCAAATTCATCTATGCGTAGCTCTACCAATCTTGAACCATGCGAGCCAGTGGCGACAGCGGAGAGGGAAAAAAAACTTCACCTGATCAGGATCGCAGGTGATCCATCCCACCCATCTCACAGCTACTTCAGCCAATTGCCATCAGGGAGGATTCTTCTGGTTCTGGTCTCCGGGCCAGAACCAGAAGGCTCAAAAACAGTTTCCTCCACCAGGCGGTCAGGAGACTCAACTCCCTCCTCTGCCTCCACCCCTGGCTACTACTACAAACAGACAAATTGAGACAAATTGTCTAGAGAGCCCCCTCACTATAACCCAAAGAAAATACAAAGAAAAATATGCTGAGAAATTAGTTTATTTCACTTAATTATTAAGTAATGAGTTACTTAATATTAAGCAATTATATTAAAAATTATAGGCAAATGCTGCATCAAGTCATTCTCTGTGTATGTGTGTGTGTGTGTGTGTGTGTGTGTGTGTGTGTGTGTGTGTGTGTGTGTGTGTGTGTGTCTCCTCAAGTTCTGAGGAAAATAATAGTTTGGTTTTTGTATAGAACAGAGAGATAAGTTGAAAGACTATTGAGTCTGATGATTAAACAGCTGATGTAAGAAGTCAGTGAGAAGTACATTTAACATTAAGAAAATCAAAAGTGCAGGTTATAATGTTTGCTTCTGATTATGTTGATGATTTAGTCAGAGTACAGTAATAAATCAAATCAAATCAGGCCTTTATTTGTCACATACACTTTCGTACAGTGAAATTGAAGTTTAAGTTTGTTAAGTCAAGTTGAGTTTAAGTTAATTAGATTTTCGAGGTTAAACTGATATGATGTATGATGACGAAATGTTCCTAAAATTTACAAATTTAGGTTTATTGAGTTAGAAATTATAAAAAATTGGGAATTAATGTAGGTTTAATGGCAAATAATGCTTGCTGTCTTATTTCTATTAACAGATGTTTTAGTTTGAATTTTACTTACAGTAGTTTTGATCTCTGTTGAATTAGACCTAGATTATGTTTAACCTGTAAACAGTGGGAACAAAAGAAATGGATTTACAACCCATCTTCTTGCAGGATAATGAATTGGAAATAGTTCTGTATAAACTAAAGTACCTTTCTTGGTTTTTAGGTATCAAGTTATCTCTAGATCTAGTCTCTACGAGGTGACGGAGGGTCTGGCACAATGTCAGAAGTGCAACAACAATGCTTTATTCATTTAGCCCAGATTCCAGGAAATACATTTTATATTTTCTTTGTAAACTTAGTACAATCAGCTCACTGTAGCCAAGACTGAGAGGAGTGCTTGCACAATTTCTGTTAGTGATACACAGGAATGTGTTGCAACAGTACAATTAAGTCATTGTTTGAATGAAAAGTTGTGTTGTTAGTGGACTTGACTGACACAGAGTTTACAAAGGTGGTAAATAAACATGGTAATTGTGCTGAACTGAACTTTTGTGTTGCTAAAAAGTTTAATGAATGTTATTGCAAAACTGTGTCATTATGCCAAATTAAAGTTACAGAATATTATTGAGGGTTCGGTTGATGAATGTTTTTTAAACAGGTGAAGACAACAGATGTTTATGTAGGTTATGTGTATACAAATCTTGTGGTTCTTAGGTCGAGTAGATCGCATTTTGTGTCTGATCAGAGGAACTCTTAAGGCTCGCTTTTCGTTTGCGTTTATCGTCAGCGTTTTACGAGACGTTTTTCTGGATTCAAACCCAATCGATTTTCACTGGCGTCGAGCAGAAGAGTATGCAAAATCACTCCTTAATGTTAGATGGCGCTACACAATTTTAAGCTTTTGACATCCGCTTGAAACACAGAAGAAGAAGACAAAAAGTTTACCCACTTGTTGTTATGGATGGTTTAAGTAGCAGCTCCAACGTCATATCGCCACTGGGCATTTTCTTCAATGTGCACTCGCATTGACAGTTTTGCGCTTGAGCACCTCCAAGTGCTGTTAACTGTAGCTTCAGCAGCTCTGTGCACGTGAACAAAAATGGCAATCTGATTGGTGGAGAAGGTTTTGAGGCGTTTCTTTAAAAATTACACTTTTACACCTGCCGTTTTGTACGTTGGTGTGCACGATCACAATGGCGCCCTTTATTTTGTCACAGGCATTAAACGTTAATGGAAACAAAAACTGTCTCGTTGTGCATGGGCCTTTAGCATTAGCCTGTGTAGCAGATTTACTCTGGTTGTGCATCTCGCTATTAGTTTTACTCGATCTTTGTGCTGCATTTGACACCATTGACCACAATATCCTCATAAATCGCTTAAAGTCTACAGGTGTCCAGAGATAGGCTCTACAATGGTTTAAGTAATACTTATCTGAACGTTACCAGTTTGTGAATATTAATGGACAGCCTTCACAAATCAGTCCAGTAAAGTATGGGGTGCCTCAAGGATCAGTTTTAGGCCCTTTGCTGTTTACAATTTACATGCTACCACTGGGAGACATTATTAGAAGACATGGGATCAGCTTTCACTAAATGCAGATGATACTCAATTATATATTTCCACTAAACCTGATAAGATGTCTGAACTGTCTAAGCTAACTGAGTGTATTAGAGATGTTAAAGACTGGATGACCAACAATTTTCTTCTCTTAAACTCAGACAAAACAGAATTATTACTTATTGGGCCTAAATCCTGTACACAGCAGATCTCAAAACTCAATCTACAATTAGAGGGATACAAAGTTAGCTTTAGCTCTACTATAAAAGATTTGGGTGTCATATTAGACAGCAATCTAACTTTTGAAAATCATATATCCCATGTCACAAAAACTGCCTTCTTTCATCTGAGAAATATCGCTAAATTAGGAAGTATGCTATCCATCTCAGATGCAGAAAAGTCCATGCTTTTATGACTTCTAGGCTGGATTACTGTAATGCTCTATTTGCTGGCTGCCCAGCATCCTCTATTAACAAACTTCAATTAGTACAAAATGCAGCAGCCAGAGTTCTTACCAGGTCTAGAAAATATGATCATATCACCCCAATTTTATCCTCCTTACACTGGCTGCCTGTTAAGTTTTGTATTGAATTTAAAATATTACTTCTCACCTATAAAGCTCTAAATAATTGAGCTCCTGTTTAAAG